TAGTGCCATCATTACCCCTAAATCTCAACCCCAAACCCTTACCATAACCCCCAACCCAACTCCTCAATCCCAAACCCCAAACCTCTGATGTCCTTGTATCGTTTATCTTGTATCCGTGGAATTTCCGATACAAAATATTTCTTTTCCAAACGTTCTGCAACAAGCCAATATTATCTATTTTTCAACCACACTAAATATTTTTCATAGAAACTCACTCGTGTGAACGAAAACATCCTTTGATGAGCGAAATAGACAAGTCCATTGGTACATTTCACTTTCAATACCTTTCATGAGTGAATTCGTAGTGTGTTTCAATTTATTTTACCGTCAGATTTAATCCTTCAAATCTGCCAATCGATACTTAACTGGATTGTGCTATCGACACGAATCCATGTAGATTTCATTACATTGTGAAATTGACATGTTATAACTTCACACACTTTGTAACGTAAGTTAGTCCTACCTGTGCATTGCATCTAATCCCTACCTTAATTTGATTCCGACCCCAGGAAAAGTAATTCATAGTGCAATGAACACGATCACCCCTGTGTGCATTTCTTTACCTGTCAAACTAATGAAAAAGACATCATGTTTTTACAAACATGAACCCATAGTCGTTTCCATTATCATGTACAGATCTAACGACTGAGGCAAAGAACGTAGACAATTTAGTCGTTAAATGCAAAGCTTTCCGTTCTAACCGTCTCTGAAGACTGTTCTTGCATACAATAATGTTTCTATAAATTGCTCTAATCACAAGAAATTCTATAATCCAACCCATTTCATTCTATTTAACTGCTGCAAAACAATTACACTATTCTATTGTCATTTCCCATTGAGTAACAGCCCGAAACACCAAAATCGAGTCCCCTATGAATTAATTCTTTTTCTGCTGATGAAAATCCATATGGTATTTTCGCGACTGCATTAGGTGTAATTAGCTTCCAAATGTCCTATTGTCCAACATTGTCACAATCCATTTCTACATTAGTGGTCTGTTTGACACGTTCGTCGTGATGAAAAACCCCTCCCCAGCATATGTCCGTTTCACCCAGACCATCTTCAATGTTTTCAGGTAACACAATGAGAAATTTCAAGAGCATGACGTGGTATTCTTATTCCATATCGATAAGTGCATCGTTTTGCTTTAGGGGACCACAGACAGATAAGATTAAACGGGTTTCATTGAGTAAATATAAAATGCAACATTTTAAGTTATTAGGACAATTACAGCGTATTTATACGATTATGAGACTCTGTCAGCCTCTCCATTGAGCGATTGGAAGAATGAAATGGTGAGCCACGCGCAGGTACGCACAGGTGAAATTGATTAATTGCAATGTATTACCGTCAAACTACAGCAAGCTTTAAGAGCTCCATGAGGGTAAGGAAATTGACATGCGTCAATTTCAACCAGGAACAAGATTTAAGCAAACGTTTCCAAACTGGTGTAACTTTCAATTTCATACAAACCACTGTTCTTGCAGTTGTGTAACATCATTCAAGATTGTTTAATGGTGTTTGTTAAAGCTAAGCGCAAAGACGGGCATATTAATTTCGGTTTCGATTTTGATTAATCTGTTGAATTATTGCATCAAATTAATTCACATCATCGATAATTCATACGGAGGGACGTTTTAACGTGATTACCTCAGCTAAGTATACTGTAATCCGCCATACACATTAACGAAATATATCAACGTGTATTTCACATTCTGATGCAGCAGTGAATGTAAATTTATTTTTACAGAAATATGTTCCAATGACACGCTATTAAAACTGCGAGTTTGACTTTTGACAAAGCTTTATTTAATTGGTGCCAAAAATGTAAATCATTATTTGATTAATCCCGATTTTAACACATTAAATACATGTCAGTAAGGCATTTTAATTTCAAAACTACCCGTCATTAATCATGTTTGAATCAACAACTGTTGCAACCAGATTTTGTGGGAGTTATTTAAGGATTAAAGACTGGTCTCATTATCTCCCAAACCTTCCCGATTAACTATTAAGTCTGTCAGACGAAGAATGGACGATGACGCTTTGTTCAGGGAGTGAAAGCAAGCCGTTTATATTCTTAAAGGATCCCGAAAAGGAAGGGGAAAGACGAAGCCAGCAATCAATAACAAAAATACAATGTCTGACAAGTTTGTGAGGATAAACCAGCAATTTCTTGGGCTTCATGCTCAATGGTGCTCCTACCTGACCAATTCCTCAGCCAAGTCACCGAGCTAACAATGAAGAGAGTGATCAGATATCCCGTCTTTGTTGACGCCATACAACGCTGTTGTTTCAGCGGTAGAACTACCATTTGACTATTAGTGGTTGGTGGATTCATAGAATTTCGGTATAGATTTTCGTGCTCGGCAGCAATAAATGATCAGCTCCTAACAGCTCGCGAACAGTCCTTGCCATTGATTTTTCAAAGAAATTATAAATTTAGCGAGTGCAGTTCAGCACCTATGAAACTACAGGTACACTATCGGCAAGGATTACCCCGATAATCGGCTTAGGTTTCTGCTGGGAGAAGGGGGACTGGATTTACATGCATCGTATTAATACAGATGTTACATGCTAAACAAAATTATTGCCTTCAAATAAGGTTAGGCTAACATTGCCTGTTATCTTTGATTTTTTGAAGCCACAGTAAAGAAGAATCAATGTTTAAATCATTTCGGGTTTCAGAAGTAGTCAGTTAAGCGGTAAGCGTTAACACTGATGTAAAGAGCAGTTGGCAACATGGTATGTTCTCAAGATCAAAGGCGTTATGCTCAAAGAAAAATATGATGAAAACAATTTTCAGCGGGTTTTTGTACACGTTATTCTGTAGGGTCTTTTCATGTTTAGAACTGCCTTGAATTATGAATGAGTGTATGGCTCACGTCGGTCTCTATTGCCTGACAGCGAATACGGCACGATGGGGAACAAATTCAAACTACTTAAAATTAACGCTGTCAAGTTAAGTTTTCAATAAAATACGCATACCAATTTGAAATTCATATTTTCGGGCGGACAAAAATTTAGGGGAAATATGATGGCATGAAATTGAAGATCCGTCACTGGGCGTTGAGGTGTGATTCCTATTGTCAGTTATCACTGGTGATTTATCATAGCTCGCCTTATCCAGACCAAATATTGCAGAAAGGGCTGTAACCACAGTACAGTACTGACTGACTGACTGAGTTTAGTTTTACGCCGCTTTTAGCAATATTCCAGCAATATCACGGCGGGGGACACCAGAAATGGGCTTAACACATTGTGCCCATGTGGGGAATCGAACCCGGGTCTTTGGCGTGACGAGCCAACGCTTTAACCACTAGGCTACCCCACCGCCCCCACAGTACAGTAAACGACATGCGCACTTTAGTGTCGTTCTTGATGACGATTATTTTTCTTGATCTGGCAGCATCATCTCCGTGGTTGGCAACGTCATCACGGTGGTAAATGACGTCAAACTTTATGACGTCATACTTTACTAAACACGTCTTGATGAGGCAGAAATTCTGTTCAAAATGGCATCAAACCTTTCTCCCTCACTCATACACAATAGATACTGACGTAATGATTTCATTGGAAGACATGAATACAGTAAATGCTCTGTATTCGAGTTTTATAGCAATATACGTGAGATATACGGAATATATAAGTCTTGAATCGCAAACTCTTTACGGTATTTCGCAGAGGTTTTACGGTATTTGGCTCAAACCTGCGAATGTTGCACATACGTCTACGCAAGCGTGGTCCCTGAATATGTGCAACATTTTCATATTTTAAGATGGACGTCATCAAACTCTCGCCTGTCTTGACGAGATCAGACGCCGTCACTGACCCTGTGGTGCTATGGGCCATACTACATGCCTAGAACAAGACTGGGCCCCGTTTCACAAAGCTCTCGTAAGCCTAAGATCTCGTAACTTTACTGGTAGCATTCGTACCTCCTATACTGTAGCATAAGAGGTACGAATGTTACGAGAAAGGTTACGAGATCTTAGGCTTACGAGAGCTTCGTGAAACAGGGCCCAGGACAATAGGCTTGCCGCATTTGAATCACGGTTTGGACTTGAGTACACTGTGGTGCGTCCCTTTGGGAAATATAAGAACTGGTTTCACTTTGTATGATTGGAGCTAGGGGACTGTTGCTCCTGAATCAGAAACAGATACAGGGTTTGGAGAACGTGCTACACGAAAGGGAATCAAGTGACACGCGAGTTACGCCCCCTTGTTGAGAAAAGATGCACTGGTTTGGGGTTCAAACATGTAACATATTGAGAGGCTGGCTGGAGGGGGGAGAGGGGGGTAATGGTGGTGGGGAGGTACAGAGGTGGTATATTGGAAGCTGGGATGCGGTGGGTTGGGGATGTTGAAGACGGGGGCTGGTGATGATGTAGATGTCGGGTGGTAGCGAGGATGGAGTTGGGGATGTTGAAGACGGGGGCTGGTGATGATGTAGATGTCGGGTGGTAGCGAGGATGGAGTTGGGGATGGTCAGGAAGGAAGTGTGAGTGAGTGAGTTTAGTTTCACGCCGCTTTTAGCAATATTCCAGCAATATCAATGCGGGGAACACCAGAAATGGGCTTCGCACAGTGTACCCAGGTGGGGAATCAAACCCGGGTCTTCGGCGTGACGGACGAACGCTTTAACCACTAGGCTACCCCGCCGCCCCCAGGAGGGAAGTGGCATAGTGAACTACTGTAAGGAGTTACCATGTCTTTGCAAGGTCCAGTATGTTGTGGTGACGTCGTGATGGGGTTAGACTGTACAATGTGTAGCAGGTATGTGATGGATGTAATGTGTGAATTAAATCATAGCGATAAGCCATGATAGCAGACGTTCAAAGTGGACCAGATATATCTGTCTTTCCTCAATCATGCACTTGGATGTACTCTGCTCTGTGGTCGATTGCGTGTAAACATACCATGATAGACGTCTTAATGTATGTGAACATATAAGCCTCATGCCGTAGATGTTCAAATTAAATCAATTTTAAGATAGTTACCATAGAGCCTTGGGTCGAACTGGTAATCACTTCCATCAAGCCGACTCTTCTTCAGTTTTTCTATCGTCTCAGGGCTAGCATGTATAGACGGGGACCTCTTCGGGGGACGACCGGGCCGCGCACTGAAACACGCAATATGGCGATGAACAGCCAGAAAATTCAAATTCAAAGCAAAAAACTGCAAATATTAAAAAACATATGTTTGTCATTCAACAACTGACAGGTAGTTTCAAAGATGACCAACAAACACGAATCCGTCTTGAAATGTTATTATAAACGAAATAAATTAATGTTCCAATTTCGTACTAACTGCGGTGAAAAGTAATCATAGTCTGGAGAGGAACCATTCACCCCTCGTCTTGTCACAGTTAATGGATTTAGGTAATTAGGAACTAGTTGGCTGTCTACATGGAAATGTTAATTCGAGAAAATAATGATAGCTGTATCTAAAAGATGCTCAAGCAACTTGGTTTGAAAGTATTGAACAATTCTCAATTCCTTTCTTCTCTTTGTTCATAAAAGCGGATTCGCAATGGACTCGTTCTAAAGCATCTGCTGAAATGCGGAAAGTAAATACTGGTATTTCTATGGAAGATTGCGAAATCAAATACAAGGAAAGTAAATTAAATACCTTTACCATCAAGGTTTAAAGTATACATGCATTAAGAAGTATCGACATCTGCATGGAAGTGTACCACGCTATTGTAGTCGATGCATTAATGCATTTTCAAAGCAAGGGAAAACGTATCTGAAAAGGACGATTAGCATTGTGTTTAAGAGTACATAACCATCCATGAATTGAAAATATCCACTGCTTAAGTGAAGAGGTGGATTCTATTCAAATGCAATTGAATTTTTCGATATACCCTGCTGGTCCCCCACACAAAGACTAAATGATGCATATTCCTTTTGAAGGATGAATGCTTGTTCGATGTCTGTAGTTAAGGGTAGAGTAGTAAAAATTCTTCCCATTGGCAACGATCTGTGAAACCGCTTATTAGTATCATTACTATGGCGGGTGTCACTTTTATATTCAGTCCATATGAGTAGACTTTTTTCAGAGAACAATCCCTATATCTCATCGTCTTCCGCTCTGGATGTCCACAAGGTACATTACACTTAACAATAAAATCTCTATTCTTCCTTGCCCGACAGACGCCCCTGTTAGCCTCCCGAAGCGATGTCCATCTGCCTTATAAAACTTGATATATTCCCCCGCATCTGTACACTGTTTATTTATGTTTAGAAAGCATCATTGACAGTAACTAAATATGGAACGACTCACAGACCAGTGTGTTGGTATGCGAGGTCCGAGCGCTAATGTTGAAATGCCACACCAGGATTTGCTTATATCGTGGTTTGGTTTTGATAAAACTTGCCCCGAACAATTCAATGTTTTGATTTGTTTATGGGCTTGAATTTGAAACCGTTGGGGCTGACAATACCTCCGCAGTGTGCCTGTTGTGATGAACACACGAAGGATGAAAATTTAATTTACTACGTCCGCCACACAGGCAGTCTGATTCGGGTGACGAGAAAAATAACACAACAACAAACAGGGGAATGTCAACTATATAAAAAAAACGACGGAGGTGGATTGAAACGCTACACCATGGGCGAATACAACACTAATTGAATTCAGGACATATCTGCATAAAATATTCCTCTCAGTCAGGCTGATTGGGACAGTCGCTCTGACTAGTAACGAATCGTGACAGTTACGATATCTTTAATTTGTCAGCTAATACCTTTACACATCTTGTAGTTCCATACCTTTGTGTGAAACATCAAAGAGTCCCGGTTTATTCTCTGTATCATTTGAATAAATCTCATTTGCCACGTAGTATTGTGTTGACCCGTTAAGAAAAACTGCTTAAACCCTCACCTGTTGATTCTTGCGTCTAGGGGGTACATCCTGGACCAGGTGATGACTAGCAATAATATATATTTCAAACCGACTGCTATAACACAAACCTTATTTTTACAACCCGAACAGTCATCAAATATTTAACTATTTGCTTTGATAATACCTGGGTCAATACAACCGCATAATGTTTCAAAAGACGAAGTGTAATAAAACCCGAAATGAAATATTTTAGAGTATGGTATCGGCGACACAAACGGAGTGGGTATCTTTTGCAATATGCTATTATTTAGTTTTCATGTTTATTTTGTTATTGATGAAGATGAAATGAAACGCTTTTCTGATAAAACGACAGAAATAATATTTAGATACCTTTTGAGCTGGAATCCTAACAGGCTAAGTTGAGTTTTACTGGTCGCTTCAGCCGAGATTCATATGAAGGGGATTGAGTTTATTAACTAATTATAACCTGTACTGTTATATTTACATTAAACACAATGTATTGCTGCCATATCTGAGTGCAGAGCTTATTTAAAAGTTTGAGAAACAGTTTTCTAACGTTTAATTATAAAATATCTCTTAGCCTCCAGGATGTTGGAGAGCTTAGCGCGTCAAGCTGATTGCAGGGATGCCCTGCAGGTACCGTTAAGAGATATATATCACTGGTTCATAAATATTAATCGACGTTAAACGAACGTTTTTTAAGGAACTGTTAATTGCATCATTAATATGACATTAATCTACGAATTATAACAGACACAACCAGGTCAACTTACATAAGTACGTAGCAGGGTATGTGGAACCAAACACCACAAGAATTAACAATATAATACATAAACAATATTAATTTAGCACTCGTAAGAATGATCATGGATTAACGTCTAGTTTCTTAATTGAAAGACACACAGAGAGAGATAGATAGAGAGAGAGCGAGAGAGAGAGAGAGAGAGAGAGAGAGAGAGAGAGATTATTGACAATTGACCGTCAGTGAAATAACGTCTAGTTTCTTAATTAAGAGAGAGAGAGAGAGAGAGAGAGAGAGAGAGAGAGAGAGAGAGAGAGAGAGAGAGATTATTGACAATTGACCGACAGTGAAATAACGTCTAGTTTCTTAATTGAGAGAGAGAGAGAGAGAGAGAGAGAGAGAGAGAGAGAGAGAGAGAGAGAGAGATTATTGACAATTGACCGTCAGTGAAATAACGTCTAGTTTCTTAATTAGAGAGAGAGAGAGAGAGAGAGAGAGAGAGAGAGAGAGAGAGAGATTATTGACAATTGACCGACAGTGAAATAACGTCTAGTTTCTTAATTAAGAGAGAGAGCGAGAGAGAGAGAGAGAGAGAGAGAGAGAGAGAGAGAGAGAGAGAGAGAGAGAGAGAGAGAGAGAGAGAGAGAGAGAGAGAGAGAGAGAGAGAGAGAGAGAGAGAGACTTCATTTCCTGGGATATCCATCTTCCCTAGTTATTACAGGATTGTTTTATGTAAATGTCACTAAACATTTTTAAGGTTGTATCAGGAATGGAATAAATAAAGTGTTAATAATACCTTCTGAATACAGTATTATGTGATTGTAGGCCGACATTGTTCAGTGGCGTAGCAGACGCTTCCAATATTTCTTTAGGCAACAACTGGTCGTCGCTCGACAATGAAGTTCATTCACTATAAATGTATTAGACTCCAAGGAACTCTTATTTGTTAGAACATTCTCTGTTAGTCTCGCGTTAACTGTTGCGTAAAAATGTCAACAGTGTGAAGCGATTCAATTTGACAAGAAGCTGTAATGGCTATTTGTATTTGACATTTAAGACAACATTTGTATACGAATCTCAAACCATAGCGTCACGTGGTTAAATTCTTGCACAAGCCTTTGTTTGTTAATACAATGCATGTTTTCAGTCGTGATTATTAAATCATCTTTTGGGAAAATTTCTAAAATAGTTCTCCAAATGTAATCATGAATGCATGTGAAATACATATATGAGGTGTGGTATGGTTCCGCCATTTCGAAGGCTAGGCACTTAAAGCGCTAGCATATGTGAAGATGGTAATGTAATCATATATTTGAACGATTCAGATAGCATGTCTTCTACATTTCATGAACATCACAGGAACGATCAAAGAGGAAGTCAGTCCTAAAATCCAGAAATGAGCCATTTCATTACTGAAACAATATTTCCTTCTCTGATATACTCACAGCGTATGAAACGTTCACTGAAACATACGAAACTGAAACATCATTAATGTAAGCTTCAATTACATCTCTTCAAATACATATCCTCTGAACAACGAATTATCCACTGCCATATTAATATTACGTTTCATCTCCGTTGTGAAAACCATATGCATATTTCAATGATTCATTAACACAATGTCAATTGTATTTTGCTTCATAAAATTGAATTTATTGATTTTAGAGTGAATACGTATTTTAACAGTCCCTTAAACACAGCCAACATCTCTATCTGTCCCTATCCTCCTGTTGCCCACTCCTTTCAAATTATCCCTCTCGTTGTACCTCAATTCGGATGGAGACCCCCTAGTGGCTTGAAACGAGATATTCCAGAATTTCAAATATCATTATATTTATTTCAATTCATGCATAACGCTTGAAAGAGCCAGAATCACGTTTCACATAAACGAATTGAATGGCGCTTGCAATAGAATGTAAAACCTACGACCGAGCTGTCAAATCTCAAAACTGGTTTTTTAACTCTTTTCTTAGTCGTCTTCCGCAGGTGCTTGGCTAATTAGCGACGAGGGGAATAATTACATTGTGGTATATCTGGCTACTGTTTATTCCACATAGGTAACTCGAGACCCTCAAAACAGGGTCCCTGCCTCTTTCCACCCAATTATAGGACATTTTCCGATCTACTTGCTCTATCAGGCAATATGAGAAACTCCACCAGTGATCACAGCCAGACTTTAGCAGAGATTGGACCCAGGGGGACAAAGATCTTTTCAATAGACCTATCGTAAAGAGATCAGATTTCTCTCATTCATTCGTATCTCGCCCTCTTTCTAGATTCTATACCCTTTTAATCAATTCACACTGAAACTACGATCCACAGCCCGCCGTCGTGCCGAAAAGATTCGTATTTAGTTCTAGTCACTGACTTCGAATGTTTTGGGGTTGGCTTAGCTCGACTCCCGCGCTCGACCACAGGGCTCCGAAACTGACAAGGATGCTTTAAAGTTTTTGTTATCATTGAGTCCTCAACTCTCACCTTGGTGAGAATATGGGGATCACAACAAAACAGGC